TAGTACATAAACTGTAATAATTCTGTAGTCACCATCTGTTGCTGTTTCGGTGATCTCGTGGGTTGTGAGTATCAGCTTAAACTTCTATATGGCACTATATCCTTGTGAGAAGTTCATCTCTGGTAAATTGGACATCACAATGAAAAGTGATCTCTCATGACGCCTGTGTATTTTCATCATGTTTAGTGTATATTGTAACCTTGAATGACAGCTTGAGACCCATATGAAGTGCCACTAATGATGGTGAAGTGCTCCCAAGAAGCAAAGTCATGCTATTACAAGAAAAATTTGAGTTGCTTGATGTGTACCACAGATTGAGATCTGCAGCTGTAGTTCTTGCTGTTTCAAAATAAATGAGTCTAGCCCAAGGACTATTGTAAGAAAAGAAATGGAAATTCATACAGTCTTCACTGCAGCTATACCAGCAGGAGTGAAAGCCCTGCACCTTTTGCAAAATACAGTTTAACATTGAAAATACAGCTTTTATGTGGATGCGGGATTACTATAAGAAAGACATATCTGTAGACTCTACTCTGATTCCAGAAAAAAAGCAAAAGAAAGGTGAAGGTTCTAAAGCTGGAGAATTAAATGCCAGCAAAGGATGGTTTGGTAATTTTAAAAACAGGTTTGGCTTTAAAAATGTCAATAGGAGAAGCAGATTCTGCTGAGGAAGAGGCAGTAGTTGAGTTTACAGACACCATCAAGGAAATTATTGAGGAAAAAGGAAGTCTACCTGAACAGGTTAAAAACATTATTTTTAGTTTTCTACTTTAAAAGGTTTAAATAGGTTTTTGTTTGTTTCATTCCACTAATGAGTGAAAAGAGTTTTTATGCAGACAAATGCACTCTATTCTGGGGGGGAAAATGCCACAAAGAACACTTATTAATAAAGAAGAGATGCAAGCACCAAGATTTAAGACAGGAAGGGACAGGTTAACTCTTCTAATTTATGTAAATGCAGGGGTTTATGATCAGGACTGTCCTTATCTATAAAGCAATTAACACTCAAATCTTGAAGGAAAAAGATAAACACAAGCTGCTAGTCTTCTGGTTGTACAACAAGTAAGACCTAGACAACAAAAACCCTTTTTATGAACTGGTTCCACAGTGCTTTGTTCCTGAAGTCAGAAAGTAGCTTGCTGGTAAGGGACTGCCTTTTAAAGTTCTTTTGATATTGGACAATGCCCCTGGCCACCAGGCCCCCATAAGTTCAACACTAAAGGTGTTGGAGTGATTTACTTACTCCCAAACACAGTATATCTAATTCAACCTCTAGACCAGGGGCTCATAAGGACCTTTAAGCCTCACTACACATGATCATCTATGGAAAGGACTGTCAATGTTATGGAAGAGAACCCTGATAGAGAGAACATCATGGAAACCTGGAAGATGCTATCATTATTTTTAAAAAGTCATGAAAGCCGTCAAACTCAAATTCCTGCTGGGGAAAGCTGGTTCCAAGTACTGTGCTTGACCTCACAGGATTTACGACAGAGCCAATCAAGGAAATCATGAAAGAGATTGTGGATGTGACAAAAAATGTGGAGGGTGAATGGTTTCAAGATATGGATCTTGGAGAAATTCAAGAGCTAATAGACACCACACCAGGGGAGTTAACAGAAGAAGACTTGATGGAGATGGGTGCTTATGAACCAGACAGTGAGAAAAAGCAAAAAAGAAACAGTATCAGAAAACAAATTGACATTAGACAATCTGGTAGAAGAGTTCTGATTATTCAACACTGCTTTTGACTTTTTTTTATGACATGAACCCTTCTATGATATGAGCACTAAAACGAAAACAGATGGTAGAAAAAAGATTAGTGCCGCATAGAAACATTTTTAGAGAAATAGAAAGCAAAAAAGTCATACAGAAATTACCATGTACTTCCTCAACATTACACCAAGTGTGCCTTCCCTTTCACCTCCTTCACTTTTACTGCCTTTGCATCCCTGAGACATCAAGACCAACAATTCCTCTTCCTTCTCCTCCTCAGTCTACTCAACATGAAGATGACAAGGATGAACACATTTATGATGAACTACTTCTACTTAACGAATTGTAAATATATTTTTTCTTTTCTCTAGCTTACTTTTTTATAAGAATACAGTAGCATGGCGACAAGAGTGACTTTATTTTAAATGCTAATCTGCCACGTGACTTCTGACTATACCTGAGTCCAGGAATGCCTCCAAAATGTCTTGTTGATGTATTACTCTTTAGGTAGGAACACCTCTTCACTCTAAGTTTTACCTTTCCTCCAAAACAACCCTTGCTGCTGTTGCAGAAATCATAGACTGTGATGCCATCTAGCATGTATACTTTTCTCCCCAAGATTAAGCCCTGCGTCTGGGGGATCGTAGTGCAGAGATCTACGTGTCTTATGGCCACCCAAGACCTTGCTTCTGTCTGTAAGCTCCCCCTAGTAAATCACCCTATACCGACAAACTGGATATATCTGCCTCCTTTTTTGGTTTCTTGGCTCCTTTGGTATTTGGGGGCTGCTTTGCATATACGGCCTTTTCACAGAGCAAGTATATATTACATATAACATACAGATATGTGTTAATTGACTTTTATGTTATCAGTTAAGGCGTCCTTCTGGTCAAAGTAGGCTATTAGTAGTTACGTTTTGGGGGAGTCAACAATTATACGTGGATTCTGACTTTGTGTTGGTGTCAGTACCCCTTGCTCTCATGTTGTTCAAGGGTGAACTCTGTATATATATACATGCCTCATTCTCTTTATCCATTCATATATTGATGAACACAAGTTGATTCCATGTCTTGGCTATTGTTAGTAACGCTGCAATGAATATGAGTGTGATCTTGAACATATTTTCATGTACATACAACACTGTTATTTTTAGTCTTGTGTCCTGGTGTACATGGGCAAGAGTTTTGCTGGGTATATACCTAGGAATAAGATTGCTGAGTGATAAAGTATATGATTGTTCAACTTTGAAAATGCCAGATTTTTTCTCAATTTAAACTCCTGCCAGATTCATATCATCACATCCTCAGACTTGGTAATTTTTACCACTTAGTAGGTATAAAATTATATATTAATTTGTTTTTAATTTGCTTTTTCCTATTTCTAGTAATACATATAATCTTTTGATATTTTATACATTAAACAAATGTCTACTGATTTACAATTCTATGACTGGTAATATTCTATGTGCTTGAGATATGACAGACAATAGAACAAAATTCCTGCCCTTATGGAACTTTCATTCAATTTGTCTTTCATAGTTCGCCTTCTGTGAAATACCTATTGACGCTTTTTCTTATTATTTGTTTCAGCTGTTTTTATTGTTGATTTAGGGGATTTTTATAATATATTCTGGATAATAACTTTTTGATACTTATATAATAATGAATCTATCAGTGTATGACCTATACATCTGCAGATTTTCTTTAACATCTTTTAATAAATTTATGTAGTTTCTCCAGAATAGCTTTGCAAAGCTTTTATTTGATTTATCTCTAGATACTTGGTTTTGTGTTGTTGTTACTATTGTAAATTGATCTTTTTGTTAATTATATTTTTCAGCTGTATCTGGTATATAGAAATTATATTTAATTTTTATATTAATTTAATATCCAGCCACTGTGTATATAGACAATATTTTTAAATTTCTAATCCCCATATCTTTTGTTTGTATAAATTGCTTCACTGACTGAGACATTCAATACAATATTAATTAGAAGTAATAATATTGGAGCCAGTCATGATGGCATGTACCTATAATCCTAGTGACTCTGGAGGCTGAGGCAGAAGGATCACTTGAGGCCAGGAGTTTGAGACTATCCTGGGCAACATAGCTAAATCTTGTCTCTAAAATAATTTTTAAAAATAGCTTTGTGGGTGGTGCATACTTATGGCCCTAGCAATTTGGAAGGCTGAGGTGGGAGGACTGCTTGATTCCAGAAGTTTGAGACTACAGTGAGGTATGATCACATGACTACACTCCATCCTGGGTGACAGAGCAAGACCCCGTCTCAAAGAAAAAAAAAAGAAAAAGAAGTAAATAGTAATAATGGATGTGTAACTCTTGTTCCTGATTTTAAGAAAAATGTTCTCATGTCAGTGGCAAGAATGCTAAACTGTTTTGTTAAGTATTTTCATTTCTAAACAAAAAAAAACATTATTTAGGTGATTTTTGACCAATACATACTCAAAATCAGATACTATTAAAAAAGCATAAGAAGATAGTTAAAAGATGTTTAGAAACTCTTAATTTCACTCAGCAGTGATACAGCATTTTGGTACCGACTTTTCCCCCATTCATGTGTATATGTGGGTATGTATTTATAACTATATGTGATACTATATTAACTTGTGTATTTCTACATATAATATACATAATAAATTTGAATTTCTAAAATAATATGACTTTTGATTACCATAGTTTTATCATATACTTTAATATCTTATAGAATATTTAAACTTCATTCTTCTTTTTTTACTCTTATATTGTTCCTGGCTATTTTTACAAGCTTATTTTTGCAGATAAACTTTAGAATCATTTTGTTAATTTCAATCTCCCTCCAAATTTAATTGAGATTTTTTTTTTTGAGTCGTAGTCTCACTCTGTTGCTCAGGCTGGAATCCAGTGGCACAATCATGGCTTACCACAATCTCGACCTCCTGAGCTCAGAGGATCCTTCTGCCTTAGCATCCAGAATAGCTGGGACTACAGGCACGTGCCACTACACCCGGCTAATTTTTAATCTTTTTGTAGCGAGATCTTTCTATGTTGCTAGGCCGGTCTCAAACTCCTGGACTCAAGTGATCCTCTCTTCTCAGCCTCCCAAAGTACTGGGGTTATAGGCATGAACCACCATGTCTGGCCCAATTGAGATTTTGATCATATTCATAAGAGTATATTAAATGATTTGAAGAAATGTAATCTCTATACTTTCTAGGCTTCATCTATAGAATCTATGTCTGTGAAAATCAAATGAATGACTCATTGTTTATATTTTTATCATTAGGAATATATACCTACTGTCTCCATTCTGTGCAATCCAGGAATGAGAGCTCGTCACTGGAAACAGATGTCAGAAATTGTAGGCTATGACTTGACTCCAGACTCTGGATCTACATTGAGAAAAGTTTTGAAATTAAACCTTTCACCATACTTGGAACAATTTGAAGTGATAAGTGCAGGGGCAAGCAAGGTAAACATAAAGACCAATGAAAATACTTTATTTAATGCAGTTGTTAATTAAATAATCATAGTTTTTGTGGTTGAATGTGTACAATACTGGATAACAGCCAGAGGAAATGGAAGAGAGTGAATTTTTTAAAAAATGCATAATAATTCTTAAGAATTTATAGATTGTTGCAAAGTTTTTCTAACTTAAAAAATTATATGATAGTTACAGATTATCTTAAGGAAACGATAAGGTAATGCATCAAATGTTTGCTGAATTCACTAGGGAAAGACAGTATAGTAATGTTCTTTCTTCACTATCCCATTCTTTCTTCATTCTTCCTTTTTAGGAATTTTCATTAGAGAAAGCCATGCAGACAATGGTAGAAACTTGGGATGATATAACTTTTCATATAAGTCTGTACCGTGATACTGGAGTCTATATTCTCTCTTCTGTGGATGAGGTTCAGACTCTCCTTGATGATCAAATTATAAAAACTCAGACAATGAGAGGCTCACCTTTTATCAAGCCATTTGAAAAAGAGATCAAGGTATGTTAAATATGATAGTCAGCTCTTGGCTATTTAGGAAAATTGCAGTCTTATTACATATATGCTCTCATGGTGATAAGTCAGTTTGCTGGGACTTTTTAAATGTTTATTCAACTCATAGACCTATAACCTTGATATTGTATTTGGTGAAATATAGGAATAGATATTCCAAAATTAACATAGAAATGTGTAGAACAGATCTGAGACAATAATTTTTAAAAGAAAAATTATGTTTTATTAAAATATTTTCCGATGACAGTGATAGACTTGAAAGGAAAACAGTTGGTATTATTTAATCTAACTTTAGAAAATCTAGATTCTGTGTTATGCTGCATTCTTGCAACTTGTAGTAAAGTTGTATACACTATACTTTAATTATGGTTGTGAACTAGCATGAGGGTCTCTTGGAGTAATTAATTATTGCTTACTTGAGAAAAACAAATGGTATTTGATTATTTCCTATCTTTTTGGTTAATGAGGGTAAATATATAGAGTAAACAAATTATGATAACTAATAGCTTTATATTAGAATTTTATCAAAATTCTAACAGGGGACTGTATACATTTGGAAAAGACAAGCAACTGTATTTTTTACCCTCATATTGACTGATGTCAAACTAAGTGCCAGATACTGATCTAGGAACTTTACATTAAGTAATCCATTTAATCTCCACAGTAGACCTTCAAGGTAGGCACTGTTATAATCTGTATTTGTAAATAAGGAAACCAGGCAAAGGAGGATTGATAATTTGTTCAGGTTCACAGAGCTGGGATTCAAACCAAGGTAGTCTGGTTTTGATTTGAACATAAATCGTGCTTTATAAAGGATCTTGGCTGCCATTATTTGGAGAAACAAAGAGTATTATTCTTCCAAGAGTACATAGGGCTGGGCATTTTCCCAAGAATCATGCTAGTCTAGCCTGATAAGATATTATATCTTTTATATAAATTTCTTACTTGTCTAAAAAGGGGAATTACAAGACAAATTCAAAAGCTGTATTAGAGATTTTAGAAAATGAAAGATATGAAGGCTAATCTCTTGACACCCAAGACTTTAGGCCACATATTTAAGAACCAAAGAGAGAGAGAGTTTATGAATGGTCTTCAGCTAATAAAAGATCTTGTCAACTCTAGGGGATCTATGAGAATAAGGGGGCTTATTTTATTTTATTTCATTTTTCTCCAAATTGTGTTGATGTAGAGCAGAATTTTTCAACCTAGCACTGTTGATATTTTGAATTCTGTAACTCTTTGTGATAGGGCCTGTCTTGTACATTGTAGGATGTTTAGCTGCATCTCTGGCCTGTACCCACTAGATACTAGTAGCTTCATCTCTCTGTCAGTTGTGATAACCGAAAATATCTCCAGACATTTTCAAATGTTCCCTGGTGAAGGAGATAAAATTGCCCATGATTGATAACCACTGGTGTAGAGTAGGATATATTCTTGGATGCTTTTGGGACTTAGGATGTTCACCTAGAGATTAGGAATTTGGTCTAAATAACTTTACAGTCATTTCCAATTGTGAGTTCTAGTGGTTTTGGAAACCCTCAGATCTCCTAGAATTTTTCTAAGCCCTTGTGAGACACTAATAAGTGACCTTAAGTGGTAAACTACAGGCTGTTTTGCATTGATTTAAAAATAATGGTAAATTTCAAAAACATTTTCCTTGCTATAATTTCTAGCTTTTCTTTAATAACTGGGATTTAGTATAGCGTGCTTTTCATTAAGGCCTGGGAAGACCGTTTGATTAGAATACAAGAAACGACTGATGAATGGTTAAAAGTGCAAGCTCAATGGCTGTATTTGGAGCCCATCTTTTGTTCTGAGGATATCATGCAACAGATGCCAGAAGAAGGGCGTCAATTTCAGACAGTAGACAGACATTGGAAGGATATCATGAAGTTTTGCGCAAAAGATCCAAAGGTGAAGTGTTTGTTTTCTCTCTTACAGTAGGTGAGCCTTTGTTTTTGGATATTAAAGAAAACATTTGACCTTTTTTTCTGATTACAAAAATTAAACCTCATTGTATACAAACATAAAAGTTCAGAAAAATATAAGAAAGTGTAAAAGTATTTAAATAATTTTACTTTTCAATTCATCTTTTTGAAAAATACTCTTTGGTATACATAGTGGAACTGCTTCAAGTGTACCTTTAGTTCATTTGACTTCTACTATATAAACTCACTGCTGCCTGGGCACGGTGGCTCATACCTATAATCCCAGCACTTTGGGAGGTTGAGGTGAGAGGATTGCCTAAACCCATGCGTTCAAGACTAGCCTGGGCAACTTGATGAGATCACATCTTTACAATCAATCAAAAAATTAGCTGGATGTGGTGGCACATGCCTGTGATTCCAGATACTTGGAAGGCGGATGCAGAAGGATCACCTGAACCCAGCAAGTCGAGGCTGTGGTGACTGTGAGCATGCCACTGCACTCCAACCTGGGCGACAGAGTGAGACTCCAACCCAGAAAAAAAAAAGTAAAAATAAATAAATAAACTCACTGCTTCCCTCCTTGCATAATAAATAGATAAATAAAATAAAATGGAGAGAGTTAGAATGAGAGAGAGGGAGATAGAGGGAAAGAGAGACAGAGAGAGAGTAAGCTCATGAATAGTGCAGGTGATCCACGTGACATTCCATTCAGTGACTCTATCTGCTTGGGGAGTGATGAGGAAAAAATAATTTTCTGTTCTCTCAGTTGGTCTAGATTCCTATGTGTCTCTCCTAGTAAGTTTAGCATCTGTTGAGTGTGACTAATGTTGAAAGACAGACTATATATTTTTCATACAAACAATATACATAGTCTATAGATATATATCCACTTTTTTATCTGGTATAACAATTTATTCCAATGCTGTATGAAGAACTGACTGTGCTGGACTTATTGAGGGTCAATAGAGCACTGAAACTCATGAGTTTTAAGGATTTTGCCTTACCTGTTGACTTTAGAATCTTTGTAAAACATGATTTCTTGTAGATCAGAGGTCAGAAATTTTTTTCTGCCTATGGCCAGATAGTAAACATTTTAAGCTTTGCAAGACATAGGTCTTTTCTGTACATTCTGCTATCATTGTGGTAAGAAAGCAGTCTGAGACAATATGTAAATGAATGAATGTATCTGTACTAAAATAAAGCTTTATTTATGGACACCAACATTTTCACGTCATGAAATATTATTATTCTTTTGATTTTTTTTTAACTTCCAAAAGTATAAAAATAACCCTTAGCTTGTGGCCTATAGAAGGACTGGCAGCAGGCTGGATTTGGCCTGTGGGATGTAGTTTGGCAGCTCCTGCTATAGATTGTTAAGTTTATGGTTGACAGTTGTAAAAGTAAGAATTAAATCACATACCACCCTAATGTGTTCTTTTTTACATCATTCAAAGTAATATGAGATACATGAAAATATGCATGAAAATAATAACTTCTCATTTGTAACTAGCATCCTTAGATAACAATATACATGATAGTTTATAAAAGTTTACATAAATGCTGACCTGAACGAAAGTTTCTCTTTCAGGTTCTTGTTGCTACTTCTTTAACAGGTTTATTGGAAAAACTGCAGAACTGCAATGAACTTTTGGAGAAAATTATGAAAGGACTTAATGCATATCTTGAAAAGAAGCGTCTTTTCTTCCCACGGTATGATGGATGATCAACTGTGCTATAATTAAAAGCATTTTTCTAATGTGTCATGAACTATAACTAAAGTTTTTGTGTTTGAATGTTTTTTCCTAGTTTTTTCTTCTTATCTAATGATGAAATGTTAGAGATTCTGTCCGAGACCAAAGATCCACTTAGAGTTCAGCCTCATTTAAAAAAATGCTTTGAGGGAATTGCTAAATTGGAGTTCCTTCCCAATTTGGACATTAAAGCCATGTATAGCTCTGAAGGTGAGCGAGTGGAGCTCATTGCACTCATTTCTACATCTGCAGCGCGGGGTGCTGTGGAAAAGTGGCTCATTCAAGTGGAAGATCTAATGCTCCGGAGTATTCATGACGTAATTGCTGCAGCCAGGCTGGTATGTTTCCTAGTATTTAATTTATACCCTATTTTCTGCAAATTTTTTTTAAAGGAGCTTTTAAATAGGTACAAGTAAGTTAACACTTAAAGTTCTTACTACTTTAAGCTATTCACTATTCTTTACTCTTTTATTTCTAACATTATTATTAAAATAACAATATTATTGGCTGGGTATGGTGACTCATGCCTGTAATCCCAGCACTTTGGGAGACTGAAGCAGGAGGATCGCTTGAACCCAGGAGTTTAAGCCCAGCCTGGGCAATATAACAAGACCCCATCTCTATTTTTTTTTTTTAAAGAAATAAATATGGGCCGGGCTCAGTGACTCAGCCTGTAATTCCAGTGCCTTAGGAGGCTGGGGAGAGTGGATTGCCTGAGGCCGCGGGTTCAAGACCCGCCCTGGCAACTTGGCGAGACCTCGTCTCTACAATAAATCAAAAATTACCCAGGCGTGGTAGCGCGTGCCTGTAGTTCTGGCTACTAGGAAGGCTGAGGCAGGAGGATCGCTGGAGCCCAGCAGGTCTAGGCTGCGGTGACCGGGAGCATGCCACTGTACTCCAGTCTGGGTGAGACCCCAACTCAAAAAAAAAAAAAGAAATATGTTTTGTAGTTAATTTCAAGAGGTCTTGCTAATGAATTTATTGTAAGGAGAGGGAGGTCTCAAAAATTACTGGTAGGTTTCTAACTGGAGCATATGTGCAGCATTTACTCTGGGGGATGCCTGGAGAAGTAGCCTTGGAGGCTTAATGGAAGATCAAACAGTTGTGCTCTTTAGCACATGCTTACCTGTAGGACAGATGTCCAGAGACATGAGTGTTAAATGCATGACCTAGCTCATTCACTGCTCTTTACACTTAAACTACTTAAAAACTCCAAATCAGATGAACAAACATTAAAGGAGGATATATAATACATTTGAAAGAAATATAACACTTTGGTACTACATGTGCCTCATTTATGCTAACCCAATTAATTTAATCAACGATAAGCTTTAGTATATTTCTGTCTTTAGGACCACAAAGGAGCAGCTGTATAGTAGAAGAATAGTTTAAAAAGGTATTGAAGCCTTGTATCCAGCAACTCAGTATATACAAGTGAGGTGTTCTTTTTCTTTCACCAAGAGCCCTATGAAGCTCATCTTCTTCTGGTGGCTATTCCGTTCAGTTTCAGTGTTTCTGCAGATAAATCTTGACTTTTTCCCTTCTTCTGCTATTTATGATTACAAACAAACTAAAATACATGAAAGAAGCAACGTTATCCATGAATGTTTCCTTAATCAGTATAGAAATGTACCTTCTATGTACCTAGCAATGACTCTGTCATTACATATTCTTCTTTGAAGCATAGCTTAGTTTGTCATTTGCATTTATTTCTAAATATTGCTAATAAGAAGCATTTTATAATAATATATATCCTATGTTTAAAATTCTTATATCTAAGATGATGTGGTAGCATTGAAAATATAGTTTGCATTAGCATCAATTTCCAAATTTATTCTTTAGTTGTTTTCACTTTATAATGTGGATCTGCTTAAACAATTTACTATTGAAGAAAGCTATTTTTAAAAAGAGTAAGCCTTTCTCCCATAAATCAATTAAAATGTATTTTGGACATAAATGTGTTAGAAAAAAATGAAAGTATACTTTGAACTCAAAAGCACAGATTGTTCAATTATATATAATTGCACAATATGTAATTGTTTAAGTTATATACCCTGGTCATACAAGTTTTTTCAAAAGCTATAGATAAATAATACAAGGGTTCTCACTACTAGTCCAGTTTTCTACTAGATTGTGTAGTCTCCTTTTCAGTTAAATCTTGGCATTGATATACATAATCTATTTGACTAATTTGTCTTTTTTTAAGTTTACTAAAATTTTTATATTTCATTATAATAGAAGTAATATGTATTCTGTATGGAAAACTTGACAACTCGCCACAGCAAAGGAACATAAAAATCACATAGTTAAATCTGTACAGAGATAATCCATTATTAACATGTAGGTGTTCATTTTTCCATTCTTTTATAATTATACATATGTTTCAAAAATATAACAATTTATAAAATGTTCTTAGGTCTTTTAAGTAGCTCTCTAAAATTTTTCATTTCTGTTATATTTTAGCCTATGAATGTAACAAATATTATATTTCTCTATTTAGCTATTTTTTTTCTCATGCAATATTTTAAAGGTAGAAATTTATTTTGATTATTCAGGCTTATCCAGAATCTGCAAGAAGAGACTGGGTTCGAGAGTGGCCTGGCCAGGTTGTACTTTGCGTTTCTCAAATGTTCTGGACTTCTGAGACACAGGAAGTTATAAGTAGTGGTACAGAGGTAAAGCATTATTGGAATTTAAACAATAACATTTGTTTCTCTGTACCATGCTTCTTAGTTAGTATCTATTTCCTTGCAAAGACAGTATCTTCCTCAATTTCTATATTTAATCTTGAAATTCTACAATTCTTCCAAAATTTTTTCTTAATATTTTACTAGGCTTAGACAAAATCACTCTCTCCTATAATTCATTTCTGTATTGAGATAGATTATGAAACCAGAATTATTTTATAAAAGAGTAAATATAGAGAATTCGTGTTTTAGGTAGTATATTAGTTAGATTACCTTTTTATTTTGTAGGGATTAAGGAAGTACTATAAGGAACTTCAGAATCAACTAAATGATATTGTAGAGCTGGTAAGAGGAAAATTGTCTAAACAGACCAGAACCACTCTGGGGGCTTTGGTTACTATTGATGTTCATGCTAGAGATGTGGTCATGGATATGATTGAAAAAGGTATGTGACTTTTTCTTTAATATTGAAGATAAAATGTTGATGGCTTTTAGAAACAAAAATGTGTACTATGTCTTTTTCTCTCTCAACATAATTTCTCTTACATAATCTTTTCTATAAGTTAGAAAACATGAATTATTTTAATATTTGCTGTTATGAAAGAAGGTCAAATACTTATTTTTTAAATTATATTCATTTAATGATCATGTGTCTTATTTTACTTTCTTTTTTCTAGGTGTCTCACATGATACAGATTTCCAGTGGCTTGCTCAGCTTCGATATTATTGGGAATATGAGAATGCTCGTGTTCGTATCATTAATTGCAATGTAAAATATGCTTATGAATATCTTGGTAACTCACCTCGACTTGTCATTACTCCACTGACTGACAGGTGTTATAGAACATTGGTATGCATTTAAGTTATTTAAATTGACACAATAGTGGTTACTTTTTGGTGTGGTATAATATTTTTAAATCCAAATTTAATATGGCTTTCCTTACTTATTGTCTTTCCCGCAATAGTTGAATACAGATACCTTTCCTAACCTAAAATTCTCTTCATGTGAAATTATAGTAATGATGTTTACTTCTGGATGCTTCTTGTAGCATACAAGAGTGTTTGAATTCTATTGTATGACAGTTGTGAGTCAATCCCATTGGGGATAATTAGAAAAAGGAAAGTATTGGAGATATAATGACAAAACTAGAGTTTCAGAAAATGGTATCAACGTTTGCAATGGAATCTTGAGAGAGATGATGGGAATATGAGGAAAATGCATTTGGACCTTAGAACTCCAAATTAGTACTGCTGAATAGGAGGGAGAATGCTGAAATGTAGGAGGGAGGGGTGCTGAGGTCTGTGCTTATTTGGGAAACTGTGGACGAGAGATATCACTGTAAAAACAAAACAAAAAACCCCCCCTGGGAATAGGGTTGCCAGATAGAGGACTCCCAGGTAAATTTGAATTTCAAACAAACAACAAATAATTTTTGAGTATAAGTATGTCCCAAGTATTGCATGGAACATCTTATACTCAATTATTCATTGTTTATCTGAAGTTTAAATTTAACTGGGCAGTCTGTATTTTTATTTGCAATCTTACTTGGGGACTGAGGAGGAGCATCAAGAAACACCACTACCTGTGCTAGATTAAGTGAAATTAAAGTGTCTCGATTAATTCTTGTGCAAATTACTTATTAGGGAATGCTCTTAGGTAAAAACCTCTAAGGAAACAAGAACAGCAGGTGGGACAAGGGGAGAAATTAAAGTAAGATGTGGTTTCAATAGATGTATAGCTATAGACTGGTCTCACAGAGAACTTTAGAGTATGAATGGCATCACAGTTATTCAACTTTAAGGCAATGGGGTCTGGCTTTTGTACCACTTTTTCATTGGCTACGGGTTACCCCCTGGGGTAAGGGTATGAGTAAACTTTCAGGTATTTGTTAATGCAGTAGCTTCTGTTAGTTGAGGGTAATTCTTAGGAGAAAAGAGCAGCTGTGACCTATTTGCAGTTGACACAACAATTGGGGATGAATGCCACAGCCTGGTAAAGGGCATCTGAGTAAGACATCAATGGGTCTATGATGAAAGGCTTCACCAAACCCTTTGTTTTTTCAGAAAGCTACCTGAGGGCAGGGACCATGTCTGTTTTGCTCTTTACTTTAGTGGTGAACAAGTACATAGTTAGCCCTAAATATTTGTTAAGCAGATGAATCTCAAGCTTCTATTGTATCTGGCAGGCACCTCAGTGACATGAAAAGCTGTGATATGCTTATAAGGTGGAAGCTAACCACTTTGAGTTGTAAAATCAGAACACTTTTACATCAAATACTTGAATATAATACTAGATACCAAAAAAGTCTTCTAGTATATTTATTATCCATAGTAAAGGGAACACATTTGTGAGAAATTTCTTTAAATTGTAAAGAAGGAACAACTTGAGGTTATCAGCAATCAAGTTAATGGACATTAACAGTATAGCAACCATTATCAATTTAAAATGGGTGAAATACCATTGATACTGCTTTTATTTAATTAGTTGTCTCTTTTTGTTTTTTAAATGTAAATATATTTCTCATTTTTATAGGGTTATTTTTTAAACTAGACAATATTTTAGAGCAGTTTTAGGTTCACACCAAAATTAAGTGGAAAGTACAGAGAGTTCTCTTATTGCCCCTGCTCTTCTATATGCATAGCCTTGGTTCCTTAACCCTATTTTTTTCAAAAGAAGTTTAAAAAACTCCAGTGGTGCTTTTCATTAGAGACAGCTGACTGCAATTTACATGCATCTAAAAATTTCCAGACACTGTCCTCATCATTGTGAGGACCCAGAAACAATTCAGATATTTCTGATTTTGCCCTTAAGGAGCTTAAAAGTTAATGAATGAGAAAAAAATGTACATAATTTACTGTAAAACAAAGTAGAAGGCGTTAAGTTTTGGAAGGGCACAACACCGACTGACTCTGTGCTGGAGGTGCACTAGTAATGAGAGATCCGAGTAACACAAAGATTTGCAACACACAAAAAGATGAAGGAAGAAAAGATTTATTTAAGAAAAAAGATCACATGCCATAGGCAGGAAGAGGGCTGGCACTCTAAGATGAGTGTGGCACTGTAGCAGCCCAGTCCCTGGCTTAAATCCTTTCCTCTGGAGATGTTGCAATCAGGTGGACGTGACTTCCTTGTTGACCACTTGTGGATGTCTTGCAGACCCTGAGGAGGGGTCTGGTCCTTGTTGACCATTTGTGGATGTCTTGCAGACCCTGAGGAGGGGGTCTTGTCACCAGGCACCAGGTCACGATTAATCACCCTCAGGAGTTTGTTTTAAGATTACAATGGGCCGATACTGGTTATTCTTGAGAGATATGGGTTTCTAGAAAGACAAAGTCAGCAAGGTTAATCTTTACTTAGAGTATACATTCCTCTAGGACATAGTTTCTACTTTCTCATTATTGTGTTAAGATCTAGGAACAAAACAAAATGACTTCCAGCTCTTGGTCCTCCTTTCATTCCCTACTCCTGCTCTTGGAAATATCTTATGCTACTGGGAAATGGGGCAAAGTCCTGCTGTAACTACTTCCTGCTGAGGTGGGGCTTAGAGATGTCCCTACCTATCTATGTCCAAGGGAACGAATAGGAAACAGTGGGACTGCAACTGAAGACTATTTAGATTTAATGAAACATCAAGCAAGAGCACAGGCAAAATTATCAAGCAAACAATGATGAAAAAGGCCACTGCCCCAGAAACAATGCTGGAAAAATGAAAATAGTCTTGTAAATTATATGTATGTTCAGCTAAATTCTTTAATTTATCAATGTAAGTTGAAATATTCCCTTGGAGATCACCTATAGTTGTACAGCACATACTTCCCACTATGCCACATAAGCCTCCCATTTTTGCTAATATATAGTTTTTTAAAGTCGTTCTATTTGCTATGGTGTATTGTTAAATTTCCCCTTCTTGGTTAAGTAGGTCTATAGCCAGGGCTGTGTGTTCTGTAATATAATGATCTCTGCATATTAAAGCCTCTAAATCAGGGAAAATGTAACTGTATCTAGCTACACCAGTCACCTGAGGGCCTGCTATGGGTATCCATGCTGTTCCCACAACAGCTCATGCAAAGTCTTGGGACCATAGTTGTATATCTCTACAATTTGTTGACATAGCTCTACAATGCTGACAATTAGTTTTGATTTTTAAATTTGGATATAAGAGACTGCCCAAGAGCCCTGCTGCTCTACAGGGTAGCCAATTTGTTGCTACAAGTTGGTTATTAAAGGTAGCTAAAATGACAGTGTCATTATAGCTGCTGTTAAAACATCGAGCTTTGATGTTTGGTAAAATGTATTTATAGTTACCCCAGTGGGCTTGATACCCATTGCAGGAGTCCAGGCAGTTTCCACTGTTGCACCAGTAAATTCCTGAGTTCATATGTGGGTGTCCCTGCAGCTTGTCTTCAAGCTTCTTTGGGTTGTAATAAGAAAGTATATACAGTTAAAAGGAGTTTTGTTAATAATGACTTTAACAAGGAAATACAGCTACTTTGACAAAGTCAGAAGAAAGAAAAATTGAAAACATTAGAGGCATGTAGTTAGTTTGTAACTTAAATTGAGAATTAAAACAGGTAAACATTGGCAAGAGAAAACAGTTTCTTTTGTTTTTATAATAGGTCTGATATACCTTCACAATGATTGATATGCTAGAGGGTAAAGCCCAGGTTATTTTGTTATTCATTCTATGTTGGATTAGTAATCCTTGTGCCTGGTCTGCAGGTACTTCAAGAGAAGGGTGTGGAACTGGTATGGTTTCTGAGGCTTTTTTTCTTATCCCACCCTAGGGAGACTGTATTGAGAACTTAAAGGGTTTAAGTATTAAAAAAAATTTTTTTTTTGAGTTGGAGTCTCACTCTGTCACCTAAACTGGAGTACAGTGGCACGCTCACGTCCTCTATAGCCTTGACCTGCTGGACTCAGGTGATCTCCCACCTCAGCCTTCCAAGTAGCCAAAACTACAGACATATGCTACCATACCCAGCTAATTTTTGTGATTTGTTGTAGAAATGAAGTCTTGCCAAGTTGCCCAGGCTGTTCTCAAACCCATGGGCTCAGGCAATCCCCTTACCAGTATTAAAAATTTTAAAAGCATAATGTTGTAACACAAGATTAAAAGATTGTAAGTTACTTATTTAGCAAGTGATAGTCCAAAGATTTTGAAAAGTAAAAAAACCTCGCTTTTTTGTAACAAAGACAGCAAATGGGAGGCCAACTGAATTTTGTCTCTCTTCACCCCCTCCCCCCGCCCCCGGTGTTTAAAGGAGAAAATTCTTTTGGAGATAGTTAATTAGACATACTATTTTTTGATATGCTGGAACCTTTTATTTTTGTCCTATACTTTTTTCTTTAAATAACCAGTCATTCTATTATAGAACAAAAATGTACTATACAAGATTCTTTCTTACCAAAAACATTACCTTTGCAACTTTTTTACATTTTTCCTTTGCTTTCTATTTTTTCTTTACCTTTCATAGATTACTTTTTTCTGTTTATATTTTGAATTAACCTTTAGCAACTTTTAATTAAGATAAGGCTATATGAGTCCAACATGGATGGCCAGGATCAAAAAGGCTGGCACTTGTGTTAATTAAGAAATCAATTTGGGTTCCAGTGCCCTAATATTTACCTGGGGGTTGCTGGGGTGATGGTAAGCCAGTGCCAGGCACTTTCGCAGTTTTCCAGGCCTCTGTAAGTGGCCACCATTTGTGAGCCAGGTGTTCTCTCCTTTCGTCAGGAGACAGTGCACCTGTTTCCTAATGCCTTCCTACCCCGCACAGTGGACAAGGCCCAGGAAGTTTAGGCCTATTTTGGAGCAACTATGCTCTCAGTGGCCCCACAGACTGTACTCATAAGCCACAGATACCATCACCTTAGCAGGTTAGTTCTTACCAGGTCTCTGATGGGCTGTTGAAGTTTTGTCACTAATGGCGACTGCCATTTGGGGTGCTTCTTTGACCCTCTGCTTCTGCTGCCCTCCATGTTGGCATTTTTTTAAAATGTTTTGATTTTTAAAAAAACCTTAAAATCTCCTTTGTAATAGGTTACACAAATGAAACTTTTTGACCGTTTCTCTGTAACAGTCTGATGCAAAATCCTTCAGGTAAATAGACCACATGGATGTGAAAAGATCTATCCCTGCTTATTTATAATTATGAACAGGCAAATTTGTTAAAAACCCTTATAAATTACTAAATTACAGTCTTAGTTGTAAATGTGGACAATTAGGTAAGAGTGATCGGTTCTCATCCTTATTGTGCTCACACAGAGTACCCAGTCTTTTATCCATTTGGCAGGAGAAGTACTAGGCTTAGTAAAAGTGACTTAACCAGGTGGGAA